GGTGGAGTCGTCGCACTGTATGTAACAGACCAGTGTAATTGCTCAGAGCTCCTGAATATATATATAGAGAGAAAAGCCTGTTGAGAGTCTTTGGGTTAAGCTTAGAGGTGGGAGCAACAGAGGTGATGTTGTGGTTGGTATCTACTACAGACCTCCAAAACAGGTGGATGAGGTAGATGAGTCTTTTATCAGACTGCTAAGAGAAACTCGTCGCACTGTATGTAACAGACCAGTGTAATTGCTCAGAGCTCCTGAATATATATATAGAGAGAAAAGCCTGTTGAGAGTCTTTGGGTTAAGCTTAGAGGTGGGAGCAACAGAGGTGATGTTGTGGTTGGTATCTACTACAGACCTCCAAAACAGGTGGATGAGGTAGATGAGTCTTTTATCAGACTGCTAAGAGAAACTTCCAGATCACTGGTTCTCATGGGGGACTTTAATCACCCTGACATTTATTGGGAGACCAATACAGCAGTATACAGACAATCCAGGAAGTTTTTGGAGAATGTTGGGGATAACTTCCTAGGACAAGAGCTAAAGAAAGCAACCAGAGGCCATGCACAATTTGACCTGCTGCTCACCAAAAGAGAGGAATTAATAGGGGAAGTAGATGTGGGTGGCAACCTGGGAAGCAGTGATCATGAGAGGGTCGATTTCAGGATCCTGATGAAAGGAGAGCAGCAAAATACAGACCCTGGACTTCAGAAAAGCAGACTTTGACTCCCTCAGGGAACTGATGAGCAGGATCCCCTGGGATGCTAACATGAAGGGGAAAGGAATCCAGGAGAGCTGGCTAAATTTTAAAGAAGCCTTATTGAAGGCACAGCAGAAAAGCAAATATGGTAGGCAACCAGCTTGACTTAGCAGTGAAATTCTTGGTGAGCTTAAATACAAAAAGGAAGCTTACAAGAAGTGGAAATTTGCAGTGAGGAGTAACAGTAGTTCGAATTAGGAGCTTTAATTTAATTTAGTTCGAACTACCAGGCATTTAAAAATTGTGGCGCCCGGGAACATGCAAATAAAGCCCAGAATATTTTCATCCCAGGCTTCATTTGCAAGTTCGAATGACTACATTAGCAACCCTAGTTTGAACTAGGGTGGCTAGTGTAGACATACCCTGAGAGATTTGAGCTTGTTTAGTCTGCAAAAGAGTGAGGGGAGATTTGATAGCAGCCTTTAACTACCCTAAAGGGAGGTTCCAAAGAGGATGGAGAGAGGTGGTTCTCAGTAGAGACAGATGGTAGAACATGGAGCAATAGTCTCAAGGATTCTAGAGTCTAGAATTTATTTCTTTTCATATTAAATAGGGGGTATGGGAAGGTTTACTAAAAGCCAAGGGGATACAGGGACCGAGGAGTAACGGTAGTTCGGACTAGGAAGCCTAGTCCGAACTACCTAGTTCGTGCCGCGTGTAGCCGCGCGGCACGGGGTTCGAACGAACAGGGATTTAAAAATGGCGGCGCCCAGTTTATGCAAATGAAGCCCGGGAAATTCAAATCCCAGGCTTCATTTGCAAGTGCGGTATGCCTACATTACCCTCCTAGTTCGAACTAGGAGGGTAGTGTAGATATACCCTTATATCCCTAGCCCAATCAAAGCTATGGGTTTGAAATGGGAATCTCTGCATTGAGATTCACTGGCTTGTACTATGCAGGCGGTCAGAGAGGCTGATCGTAATGTCCCCATCTGGTCTTGAAACCTATGAATCCATTTTTGAGGCTTTTTATGAAATATAATTTTAAAAATCCTCTTAAACTGAAATGTGTAGTGCCACCTCAACTAGGCGGTTATTTTCAGCTCCAGCATACAAAGATATAAACACTAGTGGGGTGGGTGGCATACTTGCTCCCTTTCATGCCCTCAACAGCACTTCCATAGCAGGCTCACAAAGAAGTGTAGCAGCGAGCAAAGCACAGCAAAGAAAGGGGACCCACTTCACGAGAGCTGACTTGCTCTGAGCAGATCCCCAGAGGGAATTTTTTTTTCAGACTGTGCTTTTCAAAAATATAAAGAAATCATGCCAATCCCACAGCGGCTTCTGAGGGGACCCAATACCACGTGCACAAGGGACAGCGTGTCAGTGGCAGGGTATTAAGAATGAGATCTGAAAGCTCAAAGAAAAATTATAGAGCAGCAGAAGCCAAAACAAACATCTTCTGCCACCGACTGATTTTCAGGTCCTCTATTTCTGTGTAGCCCAGCCATCTTGTAACAAGGGAAACTGTGGGGATAAGGGTGTTTGACTTGCTGAGCTTCCCTTGTTCAAACAGGGGTATGCTCATTGAAAAGGGGTTCAATTCTTTTTGGTAGATGCAGCTGCCATTGTGTTTGGTTATAACAAAAGTCTGCAGGGTCGGGCGGATTCTTGTTTGTCCCAGAGGAGGAAAAGGCAGGAAGGTTAGAAAGAGTGGGAAAGAGAAGACTGGGATATAAAGGGGGGAGCCAAGCAAAACAGGTGGTAACTCAGACTCTGTGCCTTGACTGGGGAGAGCAGAGCTAGCTCATCAGGACAGAGTGCTGGGATGCCCCAGAGAGCAGGAAGGTCGGCTCAGTGGAATGATCAGTACACGGGGGACACCCCTACGGGAACTTCTGTGAGTTAACCCGTCACAGTGGGGATAAGGGTGTTTGACTTGCTGAGACTTGGGGAGGGGCAGAGCAGGTGAGCCAGCTGCTGGCACATAGGCAATGATCCTCTTTGCAACCCGAGAACCCAGAGAGAGATGCGACCAAGTGACACTTTGCTGGGGAAGCAAGACAAAGACCCAAAGAAGGGCAATGGGCATGTCAGAGGACAGTGACACCCACCTTCTTGCTCTCTGGGGCTTCCCACCACCCTGTCTGGATGGGACAGGTCCTCTGGTCTCCCCCAGGCAAGGCACAGAGTTGTGGTTACCATTCCCCTGAGGAGCAAAACAGACACTTAAGCTCTGGGTGGATGTGGTTCTAGAGCAGAGCGCCCAGGAAATCAACCCCCAAAAGGGATCAAACCCCCAAATTACTCTGGGTAAGTTCACTGGGTAAGCTTCTTTTATTAAAGAAAGAGGGGTATGGCCAGTGGTTGCTCCCCCCAGGTAACAATTATTTACACTGGGCTTTATAGTAAACAAAAGAGCTTTTATTAAGTAAAAACAGTAGGGTTTAAGAGATTGCAAATGAAAACAGACCGATCCAAGTAAGGTACAAAATTAAAATGCATAGGAAATGCATAGCTGGTTCTAATTCACTAACAAAAGGTATGTCTAGACTGCATCCCTCTGTTGGCAAATGGATGCAGATTAGGTAGGTCAACATTGCAAATGAAGCGGGGATTTAAATATCCTGTTTTTAATTTGCATCAAAATGGCCACCATTTTTGGCAACCCAGCACTTTGTCAGTAAGAAGCGGCAGTCTAGAGGGGAATCTGTCGAGAAAGAAAGCCTTTTTTCACAGATCTTGTAAACCTCCTTGCAGGAGGCATAAGGGATCTGTCGAAAAAGGCTTTGTTTCTCAACAGATCCCCCTCTAGACTGCCGCTTTTTGCCAACAAAGCGTGGAGTCAGCAAAAACGGCAGCCATTTTAATGCAAATTAAGCACGGGATATTTAAATCCCCGCTTCATTTGCAAGAGTCAGCAAAAACGGAAGCCATTTTAATGCAAATTAGGCATGGGGTATTTAAATCCCCACTTGATTTGCAATGTCGACCTGCCTAATCTGCATCCCTCTGCCAACAGAGAGATACAGTCTAGACATACCCAAACTTACCATATGTAACTTCTTACCCTAAGAACATGTTCTTATTTCAGGCCTAATTTTCAAATGAAAGATGATTCTGACTTGGGTCTCCAGCACTCCAAATTTCATAGAATTATACAACACTAGAACTGGAAGGGACCTTGAGTGGTCATCGAGTCCAGTCCCCTGCCCTCACGGCAGGACCCAGTACCGTCTAGACCATCCCTGATAGATGTCTATCTAACTGCTCTTAAATATCTCCAGAGATGGAGATTCCACAACCTCCCTAGGCAACTTATTCCAGTGTTGAACCACCCTGACAGTTAGGAAGTTTTTCCTAATGTCGAACCTAAACTTCCCTTGCTGAAATTTAAGCCCATTGCTTCTTGTCCTATCCTCAGAGGCCAAAGAGAACAATTTTTCTCTTTCCTCCTTGTGACACCTTTTTAGATACCTGAAAAATTCTGTTTCCTCTTAGATTTGGCTAGACAGATTCAATGCCTCTTCGCAAGGGCCAGAACCCTTTGTTTGACATCACCCCTTCCTATGGGAAAACACCAGGTTCAAAATGGATTCCCATTATCCTGTGGAATTGTCACATCTTTCTAGTCTACTTACCTTTGGACATACAGGACAAACATGCCTGTTTACAAGTCGTTGAGTTGTTCCCTAGTCATTAGGCTTCCGAGGCACCAGTAATGGCCTTCATTAGTACATTTAGGACTATACAGAGATCCACACTTTATATTTGTCACATACAAGAATGATACACAGAACTAAATTGAATATACAGAGCCAGCAGATTGTAATATTAAAATCGATAGGTTACATGAGGCATTTTGTCTAAAGCATCTCTTGAGTTATGCATGTTGATATTCATAAGCCAATTTTCATAAAGCATGGATGGGAACTGTCACACTGAGCTTGTGATCGTCTTGGTCTGTTTCAAGCTGTGGCTGCCGCGTTGCAGCTCCATATGCCTTTTCAAGGACAAGTCTAAATTGACCGTGAAGGGCAGGTACGAGTTGGCCTCCTCCACCCGAAACTTGCGGCACAGGAGGTTGAAGAGCTCGGGATCCTGGTCCAGTTCCAGCAGCTTTTCCATCTGGCCTTTCAGCTTGTCCAGCTCTTCCATGTACTTCTCATAGACCTCGCACAGAGACATGTCTGGGCGGAGCGGGCTTTCTTGGCAACTGCCCATTCTGCTCCTCTGCTTCTCATCTTCGATGCACTGCAACAGCCAGCTCAGACGGCACGGCCACTGGTTGGCAAGGAGCACCCATTCCACCACCTTCTTCGGACACACCGTGTCCTTGAAGAGGTTACTCTTCAGTAGTGTGATGGTGATGGTGATGGTGTTTACGATGCGCTGCATTTGCACCATGTTATCCGGCATAAATTCCTTCAAGGACTCATCAAGGAGGTGGTCAAAAGCTTGAATTAGTTCTTTGGTTCGGATATCTTTCCCGTAGCTTCCAGTTTCTGACTGCTGGGTTCTGACGTCAGGGAGAAGAGGTGTGCAGCTGTCATCTGTAACTGGATTCATTGCATCATGGGTGGCAGGATCATAGTGAGGGTTGGAGAGGAAGTAAGGGTTAGCTTTCTTCACCTCTAGCTCTTTCACTTGTGGCTTCCTGCGGTCAATAATGTCCCTGATCAGGCCATTCTTGGTGTCACAGTCCATTTGAGGGACACAGAAGGGCAGGGTAACAATGCGGTTTAAGAACTTGTAGCCGTTGTTGGCCATACCCTTCACACATGTGGAGCTTTCCACGCAGTCAACAATGATGCTTGGGTCAACAGCCAAGATGGAGATGAACGGGGCATCATTGTCTGAGAGGAGGATGTTCATGGCATTGAGGACGCCAACCACCCTGTCGGGGCTGCACCTGTCCAAGTGGGTGATCTCCAGCACCACCCGCAGCTTCTGCCGCTGGAAGATCTCCATGAACTGCAGGAACCTGGTAATTGTCCTGACTTCCTTTTTCACGCTGCTCATGAAGCCCAGCTGTGCGCTGAGATCCGTCCGGTTCATCTGTCTCTCCAGCTGGCACTTCTGGGTGACGATGATGTTTCGTACCACTGGGAAGGTGAACTTTATGGCAGTAACTGCAGAGAGGCCAATGGCCATCACCCCAATGCCTTCCACAACAGCTATGGCATCTCGTGAGGCATCTCCAATGTGCATGCCAAGCACTAGGAGGAAAACGCCCATGCCAATGGCTACCACGCTCAGAAAGATCACAGTAGCCCACAGCGGGAGGAAGAGGAACTTCTTGATAACCCATTCCTGATCCCCTGGTCCTTCAATGATGCCAGATTTCTTACCTACAGCCCTGAAAACACTCATAGGTAGGAGACCAAAGTGTCTTTCGATGTGGTCGCATAGTGTGGTGATGAGGCCTGCCCAAAGCTGGTCGCTGCCCGCGTACTCCCAGGCACTGAAATGGATGAAGACGTGTTTCACATTCCTTCGCCACTGCTGCTGCCCTGTCAGAACTGGCCGGTAGAAGATCATGAGAAACAGGAGCTTGAGTAGATTCAAGCCAGAGGCCCAACACTGCGTCTTCTGAGTCTGCTGAAATTCCTCATTAACCATGAACTCTACGATAAGAGAAGATGTACATCAGTTATCTGGAAGCGGCTTAAATCTTTCCTCCTGAAGGATCTTCTGGATTTACTATCCTTTCCTCCTGGGGAGTGTTCAAGAATGGGCAGCTCTTTGCAGAGTCGCCCACAGGATTAATAGGGCCCTACGCAGCACTATTAAACTGGTGCGCCTTTGCTCAGTGGCAGCCCGGTGGAGGGTGGCGATGATGCTTTTTTAGGGATGTCATTTTATCATCTTCAGAAACACAATAATTATAAAACAAATTTTAAACTAAAGTCCTGTCAGCTCACACGGTATATTCAGAAACTGCAGTCGCCAGGGTGCCAAATCATAAAATCATAGAATACTAGGACCGGAAGGGACTTCGAGAGGTCATCAAGTCCAGTCCCCTGCCCTCATGGCAGGACCAAATACTGTCTAGACCATCCCTGATAGACATTTATCTAACCTACTCTTAAATATCTCCAGAAATGGGGATTCCACAACCTCCCTGGGCAATTTATTCCAGTGTTTGACTACCCTGACAGGTAGAAACTTTTTCCTAATGTCGAACCTAAACCTCCCTTGCTGCAGTTTAAGCCCATTGCTTCTTGTTCTAGCCTCAGAGGCCAAGATGAACAAGTTTTCTCCCTCCTCCTTATGACACCCTTTTAGATACCTGAAAACGGCTAGCATGTCCCCCCTCAGTCTTCTCTTTTCTAATGTTAAATGCCTGTTAAATCAGGGGTCTGCAACCTATGGCTCTCAAACCAAATATGGCTCAGTAGGGCACTAAGCATGGCTCTTTTGTCATTCCCAACATACATGCAAGCTTTTAAATTAAAATAAAACTTTAATTCAGTATTTTAAAAACGTGTAATTAGTCATGTAGTTTGAATGGCTGCATGGACCTGAATTTAACTAGTTAAAATATAAACTTCAAAGAAATGTGCAAAAAATGCAGAAGCAGAAGTCCCATTTAATAAAGGGAGTACAAGGTTTCATTTCTGCTATTATTCATCATTGTCAATTATCATAATATTAAGTCATATATTTTCCGTTATGCAAATGGGCATTCTTATACTAGGTCTTTGTTGACGACATGTTCTGAATGTTTATGTAGTTTGACTGTTTGGTTTGAGTCGGTTGCTGACCCCTGTGTTAAATGGCTTCGTTACCACTTGAATGACTCTTTCATGAGTTAATTTTCTGCTAATAGGTCTTGGAGCTTCAGGGGGTAGCCGAGTTTGTTTTTTCTGTAACAAACTACAAATGGTCTGGTAGCACTTTAGACTAAGGAAACGTGTAGATGGTATCATGGAGAAGTAGACCGTGCCCACAAAAGCTCATGATACCATCTACATGTTCCATTAGTCTATAAAGTGCTACCAGACCATTTGTTGTTGGTTTTTTTCTTTTGCTAATAGGTCTGGCCAGCTTTTACAATTCTCAGTTAACAAGATCCTTTGCGCAGGAAGGAGAGCTACAGGACAGAGACAGGAAGAGGCAAGGGAGTGGCTATTAAGACACAGTGCTGCAAATGGGTAAAGGTGACTCTGGCTCTTTGGAGTTGGTTGTAGTCTACTAATCCCCTCTGACATCCCCATGCGGTCCCTCCCCCTTCTTGAGTTCCCCAGGGCAGTACTTACCCTTGATTTTCTTTAAGAGCAAGATTTTGCAGCGTCCCCATGGTGCATAAAGGCCAACAATTGCAGGCGTGGGCACAGTGTACAGGACATTGGCTAAAGCGAGGCAGTAGATGTTCTGTAGGGTCTGAGGCTCTGCAGCAGGGCCGAGAGAAAACACAAAGATCAGCCTTACTGAGCGCATCAGCAGTGGATGTTCAATTACACCCTTCTCTCTCTTTTTTTTTTTTTTAACTTTTAGACCAGGCAAAGGTGCCAGGCAAATATCCCATTCAGTGTGGATGCTATCTGTCGAAAAAGCAAATCGCTTTTTCAATGCACTTTGGCAGTGTAGTTCTGGCTCTCTTTCGGAAGAAGTTTTTTCGGAAGATCACTTCCGGAAAAGCTTCTTCTGAAAGAAGCCTGCAGTCTAGACATAGCCATCAAGGCATTTCCCAGGCGGGGGGAACATTGAAAGACACAAGCGGACGGACTGGCTGTAACAGACGGGTACAGAGTGTCGGCATTTCTAGTCCCCAGGGAGGAGGTGCTGGGAGCACTGGGGCATTGTGGGAAGTGCTTTGTATTCATGCCCATCAGTATGAAAGAAGCTATTTGCAGATATATTTGCATGTATATGCAACCACATTTAAATTGTGGCCCTCGGCATGTGTCGTGAGAGGCCCCTGGGGCTTCTAAAGTTGAGTAGCCCTGTTTTAGGGGGAGGTTAGGTCTCATTTCTGCCTGGGCAAATGTCCTCAGCAGCCAGCCTTAGCTTGTGCAGTTTACATGTTGCTTGTGGTTTTCCTGTAGGACAGCAGAAAGCACTCTTGCCTGCGCATGCTGCACTGCCAGTAGGTCTAGATCAGGGGTGTCCAAACTTTTTTTAAAGAGGGCCAGATTTGATGAAGTGAACATGCGTGAGGGCCGACCATTGTGCCTGACATTCTTTGAACCATTAAAATTAAATGCAAATTAACTATTTTATGCAAAGTTTATTGCAAACGGCATACTTTTCATTTCGTCACATGGATGACAAATCTAAACAGGTGTTAAATCACTCTGCCTTTCATATCTGAAGGCCAGATGAAAAAAAAATCCAGGAAGCTGAAATATGTCAGGAACATTGTAAAGTACATTACATATTATTGGTAATAAAGGTTGTCTGTCAACTTTTAAGTTCAAAAAATATGAACAGGAACATAACACCAAGTATACATGTTGTGTCCAAATATATTTATAACTGATTTAGACCAACTGACATTAACTGAGATTTTACAATGTATTCATCTCAATACATATGGATTCGTTGGGGGCCGTAAAAGATAGATATTGCCAAATTACCTGTGGGGCCGTATTAAACCGGAACACGGGCCGCAATTGGCCCGCGGGCCGGACTTTGGACATGCCTGGTCTAGATTCAGTCTGAGCGTAGTCCTGGAGCTGCTAAGGATGCGATTGATTAATTGACCAGACCGCCCTGATATGCAGTCACCATGTCCAGAGAGCCTGGAGCATTGGGCCTGGTGTCAGATTTGAGGCCTGGAGCAGCAGCTGTGAACCAAGGTCAGGCCATGTATTATAGCAGCTGCTTATAAGTTCACTGCCCAGCCCATGAAATTGGCAAAGTTGGTGCTAGTACACTAGGCGCTAGATATTTACATAACTACATGCCGGCTAGTACAGCTACCTCCCGCTCCAGGGCAAGAGAAGATGGTTTGACAAAATGAAATAGGATGTTTTGGTTCAAGGTATTAGGAGCAAAGGGAGGTAGCAAACAAACCACATAAGTTGTTTATTTGAGGTTATAAATATTGGGGTGCCTGGCCTTACCCCTCTGTGTGGCTTAGGAGATAATAGAGACTTTCTGACTGAACTTCTCCTTGTCCCGGGGCATTGGTGCGTTGATGCACGTGTAGCCACAAATCCAGGGCACTAGGATTGTGACTTCACGGCTATAAACCTGGCCGAGTGCCTCTGTCACCAGACCGTGCCTGTGGTCAGTCTTTGTGCGAACAGCGAGATCTGCAGCAGGAGCAGGCTGCGTTATCTGCACTGACCACACCGGAGCTGCAAGGCCAGAACACTGAGCGGCGCTGCTGAGGCAACCACATTGCAGCTCGCAGCCCTTAACACTAGGAACCTGTAAGTGCTCCTGTAGACCCTGCTTTCGCTGGCATTAAGCCAAACAGCATCTGCAGTCTGCACTGACCACACCGGAGCTGCAAGGCCAGAACACTGAGCGGCGCTGCTGAGGCAACCACATTGCAGCTCGCAGCCCTTAACACTAGGAACCTGTAAGTGCTCCTGTAGACCCTGCTTTCGCTGGCATTAAGCCAAACAGCATCTGCAGAGCCCCTGGCACTCCTGCGCCCTGCTGTGTGATGCAGAGGGATAGATGGAGAAGAGGGAGGCCCATGTGTTCCTTTGCCCTGGCCCAGGCTAGCCTATGCCACTTCCCCTGGTTGTGTGGACCAGACTTACCGGGCGGTGGACTCTCCTGGGAGGCAACGAATTGGAAAAAGATTTAGGGGTCGTGGTGGGTAATCAGTGGAACATGAGTTCCCCGTGCAGCACTCTGGCTTAAAAAGCTGATGTAATCCCGGGAGGTAGAAACAAGAAACTCACAGCAGTGTTCGGCACTGCTGGCGTTCTCTGTCCAGCTCTGGCAGCCAGAATTCAAGAAGGATTCTGAGAAATTGGAGAAGGATTCTGATGCATTAATAAATTGGAGAGGAGTCATGAGAGCACCATGAAAATGTAGGCTTAGGCATAAAGGTTAGAAAGCCTGCCCAGTTGCCCTTTATTAAATTGTTGTTGCCCTAGAGCCAAGTTCATGGGCTGGATCTATTTAGCTCAACAAAGGGAAGGTTCGGGGGTTACTTGTTCATACCTACATGGGGACTAATTTGATAATGGGCTCTTCAGTCTCGCAGAGGCAGGTCGAACACGATCGAAGGGCCAAAAGATTCACCTTTCCCTCCGGCTTGGTTAAACAAGCTGGTTAGACAGGAAGAGGCAATGGAATGATAAGCACCAGCTGCCGGAGTCACTTGGATTGCAGGGCCAGCGAAACTCCAGCCACACCTATGGGCGTAGGCTCGAGAAAGAGCCTGGAACAAGGAACAGAGCCTCATTCTTGCATCGTCTTTGGCTTCCCCCAGGCAGATGGTCTCTCCCAGTTGCTGCTGTCCCAGGATGGAGTCCTGTCTCTCCCTTCTCCAGGTGTAAGGGGGCTATTAGCCAGTGTTCCCTACAAGCTGAGCACTTTGGTAGCTATCTAGGAGACATTCAGATGCAGCTCAGAGGATTAGCAGAGCACCCTGGTAGTGCACATCTGTACTATACGTTGGTGCACATAACAAAATGTATTCCACACATAGAAGGAAAAAATGAGAAGGATGTTTGCTGCTAGGTCCTTCCTAAAACTCAGAGGTGGGGGGCTGGTTAGCTAACCCCCAGCACTGAAAGGTAGGGGTAAGGTGGCTGAGATATCAAGACCCTTAGTCTCAGTTCAGCCTGATTGGTAGAGCAGGCAGGCCCTGCAGGGAGTCAGGAGGCCAGGGGTCCTGTGCTCCATGTGAGCCGAGTTTGCCTGGGTTGGACAGAGTGGGGCTGAGCTAAGGAGAGAGCAGGGGCCCGCACTGAGCTAGGGTGCAGGGCTGTGCCAGCCAGAGATCTGAGACACAGGGCAGAGGGCAGATCCTTTGCTGGGAGCAGGGCAGCAGCCACAGAGTCAGAGAGCAGGGCCTGAGACGCTGCCCAGAGAGCAGGGCCATGCTGGGAGCCATGGAGCCAGAGGAGCCAGGGAGGCCCCCCCCCCGGGAACTGGAGAGGGAGCAGCAGAGAGTGCTGGAGCTGGAACTGGAACAGTCTGGAGCCGAGTGTGTTGAGCAGCTGGTGCGGCCGAAGGGGTTCTGGGCAGGGGCCCAGCGCAGGGAGACGCCACCAGCCGCAAGGCCTGGCAGGCCAGCCTTAGAGGGGGATCGTAACCCCAGCTAGAGGCTGAGGCTAGAGAGAAGGGTCCTGCCACCCGGAACCTGAAGGCTTGTGGCCTGTCTCAGAGCTCATGTCTGATCTGCTCCAGAATCAGCCACCCGGGCAAATGAAGCTGGAACCCCCCGTCCCCGCCTACAGCCTTTGCTTGAAATAGCTACAGCCATTCTAAAGTGTCCAGATCTCATGATTAAAAAGGAGATGTCCCAATGAGCCACTAAGCCGTGCTGCCTGCCTGTGACAAGTAGCTCCAAGAGGAGCGAGCAGCTCTCGTGTGTCCTTGCATTGTTAACTCTGGAACCTAATGGTGATGGCATTGCTAACCATGTTGCCAGTGATCCCTTGTAGCACCTTAGGGCACCCAATGAAAGATCGGGGAGGCCCATTGGTCTGGGTGCTGTAAACACACCTACCACAAAGGCAGCCCCCCGAGAGCTTCGCCTCTAGCTAAATAATTATCCCACTTCCAAATTCATCAGGAAAAATAGCTACTCTGGGCTTACAGCAGGACTGGAGTTGTTGTCAGGTGTCAAGGCTGGTCCGTTCCCCATTCCAGAGCACAGCGAGCCAAGGTGGCTTCCAGCCATTCTCAGATTCATACAGCTGCCTCCCTGTGAACCAGGTGCGAGCTGGCTCCTGGCCATGCTGTCCCATAGACCTGGCTTGTGCAGCCTAGCCCCACATACCTGATGTGGAGCAGAGAACTGAGGAACCTGTCCATTACTAGCCAGCCAATTACCTTGGGCATGGGAGATCATCACACTCATAACGCCTGGGGCCTTCACGCACCGACAGGGCTTGACTAGATTGGCCGGCTAGGGAGAAAGAAATAAACAGAACGCAGAGTTACCAAGAGATCAGAAGGCCAGCACGATGCTTTTATAGGCCGTTCAGCTGTGAAGAATCGCAAAGACAGAGCAGGTGACACTAACCTGAGTTAGTCCATTAGCTGCAGCTAGGCTGGGCCACGAGAGGAGAGACAGGACGTAAAATCTGCAGCTGAGCAGGTATCAGACCTTAAGGAGAACACGGCTGTTTCAAAACCTGGATCCATCCAGCTCATAGAAAAGTCAGCATGGGAGGGACCGTGATAAGTCATCTAGTCCATCCCCTGCACCGAGACAGGTCTTGGCAATCCCTGTTTGTTTCACCTGTGCTTAAAAACCTCCAGGGATGGAGCTTTAACAACTTCCCCAGGTGATTCATTGCAGGGCTTAACCACCCTGATAGGAAGTTTTTCCTGCTGGCTCAGAATCCTTTGCCTCCACAATCTCAAAAGGGAGTTATTCCTGGCCTTTCTCACCCCTTCTCTGCTGAACACCTCCATCACGCTTCAGCTGCCCTCGAACAGCTTGGAATTTCCACGGTGTTTCCCAAACGAGGGAAGAAAAAGATGAAACTGTGAAGATTTTCCACAGAGCAACATGTGCGAAAAATTGTTTTGGAACACTCGAAACCAGTTGATCAAAGCAGGAATATTGCACTTCCTAACACTCTGGCTGTGTCTAGAGTGGCAAGTTTTTCCGCCAAATCATCTGATTTTGCGGAAAAACTTGCCAGCTGTCTACACTGGCTGCTTGAATTTCCGCAAGAACACTGACGATCTCATGTAAGATCATCAGTGTTCTTGCGGAAATTCAAGCAGCCAGTGTAGACAGCTGGCAAGTTTTTCCGCAAAATCAGATGATTTTGCGGAAAAACTTGCCAGCTGTCTACACTGGCTGCTTGAATTTCCGCAAGAACACTGACGATCTCATGTAAGATCATCAGTGTTCTTGCGGAAATTCAAGCAGCCAGTGTAGACAGCTGGCAAGTTTTTCCGCAAATGCTTTTAACGGAAAAGTTTTCCGTTAAAAGCATTTCCGGAAAATCGTGCCAGTCTAGACGTAGCCTCTGTGTATATGTTGAAGGGAAATGCTCCGACTCCTCATAATGTATAAGCCCAAAAGACTTTCAAAATTTAATCAAAACACTGAAAGAATTTTTCATTTGAAATTGACTATATTCTGTAATATTTAATACAAAGATTTCATAAGAGGTATATGTTGAAAATAAGCCCTTCATCTTATGTGCCAAAACTGCTTAATTTCTACTTATAGTAGAATACAAAAAGTCACAGCAATATTCTAATTTTTAATATAGAATTAAAATGACTAATAATGGTTCATATAGAATAAGGGTTGAGCTAAAGCACTCTGAATTATTGCTCAGGGCAGGCGGTGGGGTCCTGCCGGGGATGCCCCATGTGAGGCGTGGGCAGGAGGGGGCGAACACGGGACCTAGGCTGGGCAGGGCGGCCCAGCTCGCGCCTGGGGCTGCAGGTGCCACGGGGGGCAACGATCCCACCGTCAGCCCCAAAACTTTCGCCCTGCTACCTGCCACACCATGGGGCCGCGCCGGGGGCTCCCCTCTCCCGCGGGCCGCGGCGAGCGGGTGCCGGGCTCTCCACCATGCGACCAGGAAGCTGTGCTGCCTCCCCACTGGGCTCGCCCCACTGCGCCCACAACCGCCCCCTAGTGGCGGCTGCAAACTCCAGCCCGCTGCTCTGCAGCCCTCTGCTGCTGCCGGAGAGAAGGGGTCCGGGCTAAGTGACATCACGGGCGGGAGAGAGGAGGGGCCCCCCTGCCCTGGATGCTCCTGCGCAGTGGAACGGCCTGGTAGAGGCAAGTGGGGCAGCTGCCGCTCGGAGCACTGCCCCTCCCCTCACGCCTCCGCCACTGGCCTTAGTGAATGTTTGTCCCCACCACTTTCCCCGGGAAGCTGCTTCTCCCCACGCTGCCAAAAGTACCTTAAAACCTTCTCCTGGAGGAAAGGTTACCCCATGCAAAGTTTGGTTGCGGTAGCTCTTATAATGCCCAAGTTATTAGCGCACAAACATACAAACATTCCCCTTTCTGTATTAGCTATATAAGGCCAAAGTGCTTCATCTCTGTGTATTGTAATGTCGTCAAAACGATCAAACCGAGACAAAGCACTTTGATAACTTCGCTTCAAAATTGGATGACGCTGCCACGAGCCCAAGAACCCTTTTTGATTACTGAACCTGTGTCCTGCTGACCAGCCATTGCACATCAATCGTAGGATCCTAGGGCTGCGAGAGACCTCGGTGTCATCAAGTTCAGCCCCCTGCCCAAAGCACCTGCATCTTCAGATGGTCTTGCTTGACTGTTACATCTCCATCCTTGGTGGCTTTCCTGGGTCTCAGCTGCCACGCTGTGACCACACCAGGCCCAAACCAGACACCCCGCCATGGTTCCCAGGGCTGTCACAAATCCAGTTGGGAATGTTCCATGGAATTGGTGAGTTCCTTCCTCAGCATCTCCTATTGTCTGGAAAAGCTTTCCGAGGTCTCTTCAGCTCCCCATTTCATTACAACCCTCATCGGCCGACACTGCAAAATCTCCTTGGCCACTTCATTTCTCTGGTACTTAGCTATTCGCAGCCTCGTACGTCTTATGACAGACAGTCTGGAGCCAGCCTGCACAGAAGGGGCTATAACGCTTATGGCATATTAATGACATTGCCCCTGCGCAGCCCTTCTCAGCTCCGGAGTCAGAACCCACGAGAAACACCCCAAGAGCAGAGATGAAACCGCCACTCACCTGCAGCCCAGCTTCCAGGAAGGGCAAAGCAAAAGCGGAGCTCGCGGATTCCAGCCCAGCCTGGCACCTGCTTCCTGAACAGAGGCTACTCTGGGTCTTTTATGCCTGCGACCAGGTTTTGGGCAGGGAACTCAGCTCTCCAGAGCTGTTGGTGGCGTATAAATCAGCCCTCCAACCCAGGATATCCTCCCTCACCACCACACTTGGATTTGCTTCCCACATCATCCCCATCTGTCTGCAAGATCCTTGTTTCTCAACCAGCAGTTCCAAGGAATTGTCAGAACAGGTTGATCCAGATCACAGGACCCAACCTGCCTCCCTTGCCAGGGGCTTAGGCTACTTCTCAAGGCTTTGCCAGCACAGCTGGCTTGGCTAGGGATTGTGGCAAAGCCCGCACCTCCAGCTGGCACAGCAATGCTGGCAAAGCCTCCAGGGCAAATGACAACTCTGCCAAAAAGCATCTGTTGGCTTAGCCCAAGTGACCCGGGTAGTTACACCGCACAAAGCTGTCCAGCATCAGTTTCCAGTAGGAGGCACTGCCAGCAGAGTTATATGTGGTCACAGAAGACCCATTTGGGGTGCTTCCCAGGGGGCTGACAAAGCCATTGCCACTCAACCAGCAGTTCTTGCTCCCTGGGGCTTCTCACCACCCTGACCTGCTGGGACAGATCTCCAGGTTTCCCCCAGCCAAAGCGCGCGCGCGCACACACACACACACACACACACACACCCCGAAGAGCAATGCAAACACTGAGTCAGGTCTGAGGAGAAGGCAATTTCAAGTACAGCTTCCAGGAACCCAATCCCCAAATGGGATCAGAACCCCAAATGAACCATTCAAGCAAGCCCCCTGTAACAATGAAAGGAGGACATACGCACTGATTGCTCTCCCACGTAGCAATTATTGACACTGGGCCTGGTAATAAATAAAAGTGGTTTTATTAGGTACCAGCGGTCGGATTTAAGTGGCTGCAAGTGAAAACAGGCAGAGCAAAGTGAATCATAGAATCATAGAGCTGGAAGAGACCTCAGGAATGACATTTAAAATAACAAAAAATGCACAGCTAGTTCTAACCTTTTAAAACATATCGTAAGCTTCCCCTAAAGTTTTTTTTATTTCAGCTAAGCCTCCAAGCCAGGGAAGATCTTTTCCCCCTGGGGTCCCTGGTTCATTCTCTTGGGAGTAGGGTTGCCAGATGGTTTAACCAAAAATACCAAACTCACCTCCCCACACACGCACCCTCCTCATCCTCGATGCACTGCAAGAGCCAGCTCAGACGGCACGGCAGCTGGTTGGCAAGGAGCACCCATTCCACCACCTTCTTCGGACACACTGTGTCCTTGGAGAGGTTACTCTTCAATAATGGGACAGTGATGGTGATGGTGTTCACGATGTGCTGCATTTGCGCCATGTTGTCCGGCAGAAATTCCTTCAAGGACTCATGAAAGAGGGGCTTAAAAGCTGGACCTGGTTCTCTGGCTTCGATACCTTTCCCATAGCTCCCAGAGTCTGACTGCTGGGTTCTGCCGTCAAGGAGAAGAGGTCTCCAGCTGCCGTCTCTACTTGGAGTCATTGCATCATGGGTGGCAGGATCTTACGGAGGGCTGGAGATAGAAATGGAGATATATTTCTTCACCTCTAGCTCTCTCTCTTGCTGCTCCTTGCGCACGATGATATTACTCATCAGCCTTAACTTGGTGTTGCAGTCCATCCGAGGGACTGAGAACGGCAGGGTGATGATGCGGTTTAAGAACTTGTTGGCCACACCCTTCAGATATATGGAGCTTTCCACACAGTCGACGATGATGCTCGAGTCAACAGCCAGGATGGAGATGAACGGGGCGTCATCGTCTAAGAGGAAGATGTTCATGGCATTGAGGACGCCCACCACCCTGTCGGGGCTGCACCTGTCTCCAGCACCACCCGCAGCTTCTGCTGCTGGAAGATCTCCATGAACTGCAGGAACCAGGTAATTGTCCTGACTTCCTTTTTCACGCTGCTCATGAAGCCCAGCTGTGCGCTGAGATCCGTCCGGTTCATCTGTCTCTCCAGCTGGCACTTCTGGGTGACAATGATGTTTCGTACCACTGGGAAGGTGAACTTTATGGCAGTAACTGCAGAGATGCCAATGACCGTCACCCAGATGCCTTCCACAACAGCTATGGCATCTCCCAATGCATCCTCAAACGCTAGGAGGAGAATGCCTATCCCAATAGCTACCATGCTCAGAAAGATCACAGTAGCCCACAGTGGGAGGAAGACAAATGTCTTGCTAATCCATTCCTGAGCCCCTGGTTTTTTAATGATGCCACATTTCTTACCTACGGCCCTGTAAACACTCATGGGTAGGCGACCAAAGTGTCTTTCGATGCGGTCACACAGTGTGGTGATGAGGCCTGCCCAGAGCTGGTCACTGCCTGCATACTCCCAGGCGCTGAAATGGATGAAGACGTGTTTCCTGTTCCTTCTCTGCTCCTGCTGCTCTGTCAGCACCGGCCGGTAGAAGATCATGAGAAACAGGAGCTTGAGTAGATCCCAGCCAGAGGCCCAACACTGCGTCTTCTGAGTCTGCTGAAATTCCTTCTTAACCAAGTTCTCTACGATAAGAGAAGATGTACATCAGGTATCTAGCAGCAGCTTAAAACTTTCTTCCTGAAGGGTCTTCCAGATTCACAATCCCTCCCTTCTGGGGAGAATTCAAGAATGGGCAGCTCTTTGCAGAACTGCCCGTAGGATTAATGGGGCCCTACGCAGCACTATTAAACTGGTGCCTCTTTGCTCAGAGGCAGCCCGGTGGAGGGTGGCGATGATGCTTTTTTAGGGATGTCATTTTATCATCTTCGGAAACACAATAATTATAGAACAAATTTTAAGCTAAGGTCCTGTTGACTCCCACAGTAAATTCAGAAACTGACAGTTGCCAGGGTTGGCAAATGCCTGTTAAATCAGGGGGTCTTCAATCTATGGCTTTCAAGCCAAATATGGCTCAGTACAGAACTAAAGATGGCTCGTTTGTCATTCCCAAAATACATGCAAGCTTTTAAATTAAAATGAAAAATCACTTCAAAATTTTAAAAGTTTGTAATTACTCATGTAGCTTGAATGTCTACATCAGTGGTCTCCAACTTTTTTACACCTAAGATCACTTTTTAAGTCTCAGAACAGGAGAAGATCTACCACCCCGCCCCTTCCTTGAAGCCCCGCCCCTTCCTTGAAGCCCCGCCCTCTCTATTCTCCTGTCCATCACTTGCTATCTCCAGCCCTTATACACTTTGTTAAACAGTTTATTTTTAAATTATGCAATATATACAATTAAAATCACGTTTATAGTTATGAAATAAATGGTCTGTTCTTAATTCATGCTATTTAAATGTCAAATGAAGCATTTACAATTCTACATTTTGTTCTCTGCTATTTTGTAAATCTAAAATCAAGTATTGATAATTATATATTTTTTCTTCCAATAACAAAGTCTCAATGTGACACCTGTGACTGAACAGTATCTGCCAGTGTCTTGAAGTCTGGGTTGTAGTCTGAGATTGCTAGTCATATACAGTCCATCAGATGGGCATCTGTGATCCTGCGCTCAGCCTGGGAAGCTTGCTCCAGCACAGCTGGAGCTAGATGCAGCCTCCCTGGGCTGAGCGCAGGGCAGCTGGGCTGGAGCGAAGAGAAGTGGCTGCCCGGCCAGCTGGCCATGGCGCTCAGCCAGGGTGCACCAAGCTTCACGTGGGCAGGCGCAGAGGAGAAGCTGCCTGATCAGCTGGAGCGCAGGGCATGGCTTCCTGGCCAGCTGGCCATGGCGCTCAGCCAGGGTGCACCAAGCTCCACGTGGGCAGGCGCAGAGGAGAAGCCACCGATCAGCTGGAGCGTGGGGCAGCTTCTTTCAGCTGAAAGCCAAAGTCAGCTTTCTGGGGTGTTTCAGCCCTCCCGACCTCCCACCATTCCTCGCAGCTACTCACCTGTGTTGTTGCTCGGTGAGTAGCTGCTCCTCAAATGAGGAAATCTAATGTAAATGTCCTGCGCAGGCGTGCAGTTCAGAGAGGGCTCAAGAGCTACTCTTAGAGCCCCTGAGATCTACCGGTAGCTCACAATCTACTGGTTGGTGACCACAGGTCTACATGGACCTGTATGTCTACAGTGGATGAGAAGCTGAATATGAGTCAACAGGGCGCCCTTGTAGCCAAGAAGGCTAATGGCAGATTAGGGGGCATTAAGAGGAGCATTGCCAGCTGATCCAGAGAAGTGCTTTTCCCCTTTCTTTGGCTCTGGTGAGGCCACATCTGGAGTATTGTGTCCAGCTCTGGGCCCCCCACTATAGGAAGGATGTGGACGCATTGGAGAGGGTCTAGCAGAGGGCCACAAAAATGATTAAGGGGCTGGAGCACATGACCTGTGAGGAGAGACTGAGGGATTTGGGTTTATTTAGTCTGCAGAAGAGAAGAGTGAGGGGGGATTTGAGAGCAGCCTTCAACTTCCTGAAGGGAGGTTCCAAAGAAGATGGAGAGAGGCTGTTCACAGGGGTGGCAGATGGCAGAACAAGGAGCAATGATCTCAAGTTGCCCTTGGGGAGGTTTAGGTTGGATATTAGGAAAAACTATTTCACTAGAAGAGGGGGGAAGCACTGGGATGGGTTCTGTAGGGAGGTGGTGAAATCTCCATCCCTAGAAGTGTTTAAGTCCCAGCTTGACAAAGCCCTGGCTGGGTTGATTTAGTTGGGATTGGTCCTGCCTTGGGCAGGGGGCTGGACTTGATGACCTGAGGTCTCTTCCAGAGCTAGGATTCTATGATTCTATGACCTAAATTTAACCAGTTACAATGTGAACTTTAAAGAAATGTGCGAAAAGATGCACAAGCAGAAGTCCTGTTAAATAAAGCGAGTACATTTGATTTCTGCTATTATTAATCATCAATAATATTAAGTTGCATATTCTCAGACATGCAAATGGGACTAGCTCCGTGGTGACAACTTGTTTTGAATTTTGATGTAGTTTGGCTGTTTGGTTTGAGTAGGTTGCTGGCCCTGTGCTAAATGGCTTCGTTACCACTTGAATGGCTCTTCCGTGGGTTCGATTTTCTGTTCATAGGTCTGACCAGCTTTTACAATTGTAAATTAACACGATCCTCTATGGAGGACAGAGCCACAGGACAGAAGTAGGAAGAGGCAAGCGAGTGGATATTAAGACCAGTGCTGGCTCGAGCCATTCTTGGGCCCTGGGCAGCAGGCGTGTGGCACATGCGCGGCTCCGCCCCGGCGCGTGGCACATGCACAGCCCCCGCCCCCCGAGCGCACAGTGCCCCTTACAGCTGTAATCAGATGCCGTGTGGTCCCCACCCCCGGGCTGTAAGGAGTTCCATGTACCTGAGGGCGGAGGTTGCGTGGCGCCCCTTAGAGCTGCAATCAGGCGCCCCCCATAGGTTGGCGCCCTGGGCAGCTGCCTGGCTAGCCCCCTCCTTAATCCAGCCCTGATTAAGACACAGTGCTGCCACAAATGTTCAGGTGCCCAACACAACTGTGTATACTGCAAATGGGTAAAGGTAGCTCTGGCTCTTTGGAAATGGTTTTAATCCACTAATCCCCTCTGACATCCCCATGTGGTCCCTCCCCCTCCTTAAGGTACCCGGTGCAGTACTCACGCTGGGTTTTTCCTAAGAGCGAGTTTTTGCTGTGTCCCCATGGTGCGTAAAACCCAACAGTTGCAGGCGTGGGCTCAGTGTACAGGACATTGGCTACAGCGAGGCAGTAGATGTTCTGTTGGGTCTGAGGCTCTGCAATAGGGCCGAGAGAAAACACAAAGATCAGCCTCTCCGAGCACATCAGCGGTGGATGTTCAGTTACTCAAATTGCAGTTTATCTTAAGATGGAGTCAGCCTGCTGACCAGTAGAGAATATTTCCCTCCTGCACACATACCTGATGTGCAGCAGTCTTGACTTGCTGGGAGTTCAAGCTTCGTGCCCCATCATGGGCCGGGCCTCTGCACTGAGCCGCCTGTCTAGGAGGCCACTTAGGGTATGTCTCTGCTGGAGCTGGAGATGGCATTTTCAGTGCTGGGAGACATACTCCCGCTAGCCCTGAGCGAGCCTGCACGCTAACAATAGCCGTGTCTAGCTGTCATGCATATGATCCCTCTGAAACCCTACAGCTGTTCTCAGGGCAGCTAACCCTCTTGCCTCCCCTACTAAAGTAGCTGCAGTGAGGGAAACCACTCAGAACCCTGGAACTAAGGAGTACGTTTTTAATGGGGAGCGTCATTAGCCACTGGAGCAACTGACCAAAGGTCATGGTGCAACCTCACCAGTTTTAAATCAAGACTGGAGGATTGTCTACAAGATCTGCTCCGGGAATTAGTTTGGAGAAGTTCTGTTCTATACAGGAAGTCAGACTGGTCCCTTCTGGACTTGGAATCTATGAACCCACTGGTGTATGTATGCGTGGCTATTTTATTGATAAACTTGCTCCCTCAGCTCTTGGGAAAAAGCAACCTTACTCCAAAGGAATTCATGCAAATAGTGAAAATAAACTGAATGAGAAAATAACACATTAACTGAGGCATCGGTGGCACCCTGAACCACTTCCTTTTAATGTTTTAGGGGGAGGTTACGTCTCATCTCTGCCTGGGAAAATTTCCTCAACAGCAATCCTTAGCTCGTGCAATTTACAACTTGCTTGTGGCTTCCTGTAGGACAGCAGGTGGCGGTCTTGCCTGCACATTCTGCACTTCTAGTAGGTCTGGTTAGATTCAGCCTGAGGGTAGTCCCTGAGCTGTAGCTGCTAAGGGTGTGATTGATTCAATGATGAATTGACCAGACCAACCTGACATGCAGTCACCGTGTGCAGAGAGCCTGGAGCATTGGGCCTGGTGTGAGATTTGAGGCCTGGAGCAGCAGCCGTGAACCAAGGTCAGGTCATGTATTACAGCAGCTGCTTATAAAGTCACTGTCTAGCCCATGAAGTTGGCAAAGTTGATGCTAATGCACTAGGCGCTAGATATTGACATAACTACATGCCAGCTAGTACAGCTACCTCCTGCTCCAGGGCAAGAGAAGATGGTTTGACCAAATGAACATAAGAACATAAGAATGGCCGTACTGGGTCAGATCAAAGGTCCATCTAGCCCAGTAGCCTGTCTGCCGACAGTGGCCAGCACCAGGTGCCCCAGAGAGGGTGGACCGAAGCAGATCAAGCGATTTGTCTCCTGCCATCCCAAATTATGTTCTTCTACATGCCTCACAATTTTATTCTTTACTATTGTTTCGACTAATTTGCCCGGTACTGAAGTTAGACTTACTGGTCTGTAATTGCCAGGATCGCCTCTAGAGCCCTTTTTAAATATTGGTGTCAGGTTGGCTCCCTTCCAGTCATCAGATACGGAAGCCGATTTAAAGGATAGGTTACAAACCACAGATAATAGCTCAGCAATTTCCCATTTGAGTTCTTTTAGAACCCTTGGATGAATGCCATCCGGTCCCGGAGATTTGTTAACATTAAGTTTTTCTATTTGTTCCAAAACCTCCTCTAATGACACTTCAATCCGGGACAGTTCTTCAGATTCACCACCCACAAAGGA